ATAAATTATTAATATTAAAAATGTATTTTTGTTTTTTCTTTTTACATATTTTGTTAAAAGGCCAAATAAGGAATTAAAAAAAAAAAGAAAGTAATTTTCTGTTTTGTTTTATTCTTGGATCAGGCTTTAAAGGGTTAACAGGACAGTTCAATAAATAAATCACACAACGCCTCTTAGCCATGGATCCTTTAATGACTATGATCGTTTGAAAAATATACTGAAATACTTGAATGGGGAAAAAAAATAAAAAATAAAAAATAAAAAAGAGCAGAACCTGACGGCGTGTAGAGAACAGATCCGATTGGTTCGACGTGTGACTCAGAAGGGAAATACACAGCCCAGAATCACAGACATGCAACACAAAAGACCTGGAGAAGAACAACCCAAAACATACAACTCAACGGGAACCATCTGCACAATGTTTTGCATAATGTTATTGTACAGACATGCAATTGAAAGCACATAATGACAATAATTAAGCAATTATTTCCGTATAAATATTATGCTCCTAGGCTCACTTTACTCCTCCAGTTACATTACAGATGACGGAAAAGATTCTTGGTCTACTTAGCACACTCCTCTGAGCTAATCTGACCAACAGACAAACTGAAAATGACACATCTCTTCCTCCGATAGCAGGAAAAGCTACGTTTAAAGTCAAACCAAAGGATTCTGTATCATAACAAGATCAGTGTCACCTCATCAAGTCCATAGCTCTTGATTATAGTCGTCCCACCTACCTAAATAAGACAATAAGACATCCTAACTCTGGGAAGTGACAGAATTCAAAGTGACAGAGACTGATCAATCATATGAAAATGATTTGACCCAAAAAAAACACAGAGGACGAAGAACTCATAATGACATGTTTAGTGTGTAATTATTCACAGAAAGGAACGAAAACATTTGGGTAACTTTATCACACCACCGTGTGTGTGTGTGTGTGTGTGTGTGTTTAAAAAGGCCATTTGTCTCGAGTTAGGAGTGAATCCAAAACGAAAAAGTGCTTGGAGAAAATAAGGCCAAAATATACATGTATTCTTTTTCCATTTTGAAGATCCACTTGCATAATTAAGGATGACAAAAAAGGGGGGGGAAAGGAGCTCAGACAGACTCACATCACTCACAGACCACTTCAGGAGCGTTTCTAGAGAGGAGACATTAGAGAGCAGCGTTACAGTTTATGGCATTTCTGCAGCCCGTATTTAGCTCGTCGACTTGAAAAACGATCGCAACATAAACTAAGCATTTGATGGCATTTAGAGAAAAAAAAAACACGTAAAAAAACAGCTCCTCCTCAGCTTTTGGGGGTCGGTGAAACCCCCCCGTCACGGCGTGACTGAAACCTGTTTTCTGCCAGTGTCCGCTCCCTAAAACTGAGCCTTTACCTCCTCACAGTCCAATAATCCGACAGCCCACAGAAGGGTCTAATTCTTATTGCCCCGGTCTCCCCGTTACAGGTTTACCGGCGTGGTCCGGGCCTGGGAACCCCCCGCTGACAATCATGACATGGTGACGGTGTGGACAAAGAGTTAAAACACAATAAGCATGGTTCCTTCTGCCCAGAACTAGCTTTAATGGCGGGGACACGCTCTCACTCCCAGTTCTCCCAGTCCTCATCCAGCTGGTTAAGACACAGAAATAGGGACAGAGTTAGAGAAAATGACCACAGGTCCGGCTGATAAGAAATAGAGGCTGACATTTTTTCGGGAAGTTTTTTCCTGAAGGATGGGAGTCATCTTTGCTATTAATCACAGGATTTGGACGGTACGGGATAAATGGTTAACGGGAGCAGACGGGAGCGGGAATCAACCAATAGCAAAGATGGAAAAAAAAAAAGAGTAAATGTACGATTTTGTAGTTTCCTTTTAACTCATTGACTGCCAAAGACGTCTGTAGACGTCTTTTATGTTTTTCAACGAGAGTGGCTGGGGGACGATCTGCTAAAGCTTGTCCGTAAATATCGGCTTCTAGACAGAGTATGTAGTAACAAATTGACCCTCTAGGGGGCAGTGCCACTTTTGATGGGAGATGAGCATAGACTGTAGGCAAATAAAAAAAGCCGCAATGGTTCGCTATGCGAAAAATGTCGCCGGTGAGACGCAAGTCCAGGAAGAACGGAATAAGGTAGAAACAAAATATTTTTCCTGATGAAAGAAGAGAGTCTACTCTTTCTTTTGGTGTGTTCGGTGTTTACATAGTCATAGCACAAACTATTCTGTGGCTCTTGAAAAATCAGTCAAAATGCTCAAAAAACTCTGGCAGTATGGGACTCTCTGTTCTGAAAATGGCTGTCAGTCAATGAGTTAATATACCTACAATGTAACGCAATTAAAAAATAACTGCATGACCTAGCCGTCCCAGAAGCCATCAGGGCTTTTTGTCACGGCTTACCACCGGTATTAAAAGAGCAGTGATGGAGGGAGCTTAAAAAAAAAGATTTACAGCGCAAAGTCAGAAGTAATGACATGTCTATTAACTTCACAGAACTGGTCGGACAGTCTGAAATATTATATAAGTTTATGAGAGTCAGTTTAAACAGGAACGGGATGGGATTATATTTTGAACTTTGGTCTGGGAGTGGGACTAGGGATGGGGATCCAAACCCGGTTCTATCAAGGACCCGGTTCCACTTTTTTCAAAACCCGAAAATCAATAACGTTTGGGCTTATCGATACCACTATCGAGTCTGGTCGTTTTTTTTTATTAATACAATAGTAATTGTGAAATCCGTGTTGTAATCGGCAGCATACAAGCTAGTTATCTTGAAAAGTAAATAAAGTTTCAGAAGTGCTGCGTGATGATGTGTTCAGATTGGCTCAGTAAAACGACAATTAGGTTATCATGATGTGTTCAAGTGTAACGTAAAGAAAAGGGAGCTTTTGGCGAGAAACATGAGTAATACAGTTGTATATTGCTCTAATTATTTTAGAATATATAATTAAACTACTGATGCCAACATTTATTAAAAATTACATTTAATTTAAAATACAGTTATTTATTTGCTAAATATTGTCGCGTCGTCTTTCCACCAAATAACCGAAAAGTATCGATAGTGGTATCGATAAAGACTCGGATTGATAAGGAGTATCGATAAAGGTATTGATATCAATAAATATTAACGATCCGCATCCCTAAGTGGGACGGGACAGGAGTGAAAATCCACTCCCGCGTCATCCTCTAATAAGAAACTAACCTCTCCGGGGTCTTCTATCTTAGAGAGAGCCATCTGGACCTCCTCTTCTGTCATGTCCAGGTCAAAGTCTTTCTCCCAGTCCTCGCTCACGTCGGTGCTGGACCCTGGAGGAGGAGAAACCATCAGTCTGAGTTCCCAGAAAAAATGCTTCTTTCTCACGTCACCCCTCTGTTCACTGAACTCCACTGGTTACCTCTGGCTGCCCGTATCAGATCCAAGTCCCTGATGCTAGCCTACAAAATGCTAATGCTAGCCTACAAAGTGCTTAAGGGTCCGGCTCCCATCTACTTGAATCCTCTTGCAAAGGCTTATGTCACAACTGGATCCCTCCGGTCATCAGTGGACTGTGGTCTAGCAGAGCCTTTTGAGTTTCTGACGTCATTAGCTCTAGCTCATTATAATATTCCAGCCT